CAGGTGGGGAGAGGCCTAGGGGTGGTAGAGTTGCTGCTCAGCCTACTATTTTCTTCCCAATTTTTGCTGTAGACCGACTCCAGAGGAAGCAATGGGGTCTGTGACCGGACCGGACGCCTCTACCTGTATCACTACAACGAGGAGCAGCCGTACATCCCACTGACCGAAATCCAGAGGATTGACACAGCCGCCATCCTAGACATCAAATGGTAACGCTGGCCCGTCGAGGCTTGGAGCTGCAGCGAGCAGCGTGGTCTGCCGCTCTGGGGTACTTTTTTGGCTGTTAGTATGGCAGGAAATTTACTAACTGAGCTGTCTCTGGCTTCTTGGAGGGAAGCATTCTCCAGTTTGCTCCAGTGAGCAAAGGCTGCGCCCATTTCTGTTCTGTTATTTATGAACAGCTGATCAGTGACTGTGGGTTTCTTTTGTTTATATACTAATATATAGTAACTTTGCCCTATATATAATCCCCTCTGTGCAGGTTTGTGGGAACCTGAGGAGCCTTACATTTTCTTAATGAGATATTTTTGGTCGATGCCTTCTCGTTATGCATCCTGGAATAAAAGTTATGACTTTGCTCTCTGCCTTGAATACAAGAAAAACAGGCATTCGAGACTTGTTTGACTTGATCTTTTAGGTGCCACGTTCCTGTTGCCGAACACCCCATGGTTGGCATTGCAAACTCGACAGGCGCCGTGGAGTTTTGCCACCTGACTGGAAGTGAGGTAGGTGGCTGTAACGCCTGCTGCCATTGAAAGTGGTTTTAACCCATATTTGATACATCTCTATATTTATTAGCAGTGTGCAGTGATGTACAGGAAAGCTGTACGGTTTCCATGGCTTCCTCAGTATGCTTAGCTTTCTAAACACTTCTTTTGTCTTCTGATAATGTTTCTCATAAAATGCACAAATTTGTTCATGGCACCAAGGAGACTGGCTGGGCTTTACCCCCCTGCAGAGTGCAGGAGATGAGAGGCGTGAGGGGGAGCAGAAGCAAACCCTGGAAGCAAACACTTCAGAATAAGTACAGATACATAATGTAATGTAATGTAATATAATATGTACAGATGTAATAACTGGCAAGCACAGCAGAAGGTGCAAAGTTGTTAAAAGCAGGGAACATTTTTGGAGAGGGGCTTCCTTTTGGGTGGTGAGAGAAGGGAGTAATCAAGAGACCCATCCTGACAGGGGGAGGAAAGCAGAAGCCAATCTGTAAAGGAATTCAGCAGTCAGGTCAGCACTTCTGCGCTTCATCGCTCACTGAGAGGAAGCAAAGTTTAGGAGGAATTCGGTGGGAGATGGGTGCAGAAGGGTGGGGATCCTGCAGATGTGTGTGTTTGCCCCTGAGCTCGGACTAAGCACTTATACGTTGCTGTGGAACTTTTCATCTCTTCTGTAGTGTGGGTGGTCTCTGGAAAACTCCTGCTGTGGGAGTAAGCAGCACGACAGCTGTTATATACTTGCTGTCCTCCCTATCTTAACCCATTCCTTTTCTTTCCAGTAGAAGAACAGCTGCATGCTGGAGCCATGCTTCAGGGTCGATCTCGGTGCGCAGCGCCTGGCCTTGTCTTTGGACTGGTCCACAGGACGAGAGCAATGGTGAGGATGGGAGACAAAGGCCGGTATTGGAGCTCGTGTGGGTGACAGCTTTCAGGCATAAGTTGAGGACTTCGATGAATGAATGTTTGGTGGCTTTTTGTGAAGTGTTTAAAGGCTTTCTTGGTCCTAACCCTGCACCTTCTCTAGAAGTTACCATTTCCAGAGCAAGGGTAACAAAGGAACAAGAACACGTACTGTGGCCGCTGTACCGAGAGCAGAGGCCAAGCCAGCAACAAATGTGAGGTGGTGCTGTGGTGGATGGTGGCAGGTGAGCCAGGGATGTGTCTTCTGTTGCCTTTGCTAAAAGGAAGGACCAGAACGGGACCCAGCCAGGTTCATTGGGTCCAGTTCTGCTTTTAGCACAGCTGACGTTTCAGTGTGAAGTGCTAGTAATGGCACGTGGAGGAAGTTTAAACATGGGATAGTGAGAAACGGGGGAGAATTGGTTTGGGAGTGGCTCCTCCTTCTCTCAAATGCTCATAGGTTTGATTTGAGAAATGGCATCACTGCGTGAAGTAACATGGATTAGCTCTTCCTTGAAAAGTTTGGTCTTTGTTTTCTGTAAGCTAAGAGCAAAACAGAGAGTGGTGCCTTTGGTGTGAGGCTGGAAACTGGGGGATCAGGCAGTAGTGCACTAATGCGTGCAGCAGGTATTCAGTAGCTTTTGCTAATTAAAGCTGGTTCTGTGCATGCTGTTTAATCACAGAATCACAGTATGTTAGGAATTGGAAGGGACCTCCAAAGCTCACCCAGTCCAATCCCCCTGCCGGAGCAGGAACACCCAGATGAGGTTACACAGGAAGGCGTCCAGGCGGGTTTTGAATGTCTGCAGAGAAGGAGACTCCACAACCTCTCTGGGCAGCCTGGTCCAGGGCTCTGTCACCCTCACTGAGAAGAAGTTTCTTCTCCAATTGAAGTGGAACCTCCTGTGTTCCAGCTTGTATAAGTAGAATTCCCAGTTACACTTTCCTCTTCCCTTTGTCTCTGCCCTTCAAGCTAAATGATCATTGCCATGATGAAAAGTCCCTTTAAAGCCTGTCACTGTTGTCACTTGAGAGACAAACAACCCCTGCTAGAAGCAGAATGTGCAGCCTTCATGTCTCTGTAGGAAAGGGGTGACCTTCGTGTTAAAATCTGGGAGATTCGGTACCGTTTAGTACCTTGCATGCAGTGTTCAACTGGAAAGAAGCCCCGAGTCACCAAAGCAGTACCTGCAATTGCAGGTACCCAAACAGAAGGTCCCTAGTTCATGTCAGCAAATGTTACAAAACGTGTGCACTGTGAGCTGCAAAACTTCGCCAATGCTCCAAGAAAACCATGTCCAGAAACTGCAACTGCACTGTGCCACAGAGAGCAGGAAAGGTCAGGAGCAGCCAGCGCTTCAGGTGTCTGTGAGAGCAAAGAAATACAACACTTCTTCACAAAAGAGGAAAGAGGCTCTGAGAAGCCCTTGTCAGTCTGACTTGGAGTTAAAAAAAAATCCCTCTTCGCATGGAATTTGTGTATTGATGTAATATCAAGCATGTGAGAAGTGAAGTTATGCATCTAGAAGAAAGAAGGACTCAAGGCTGGTTTTCTTTCCCTCACGAGTGCGAGTGGTTTTCTCCCCCTGTGATCAGGGAATGGGGAGCAATGGTGTAGGTGATTTTAAGATGGGATGGGCTGAAGCTGAAAAGGGTTGTATAAATAATGTGTGTGTTCCTTCCACTGTACTGCCAGCTTCTATCAATGTTTAGTTGAGCCAGACATCTATAGTACTATGCTATGTTATTTATCTATACTTTGGCTGCTATTTTTTACTCTTAACTTCTTAGGACACGAGTTTCAGTAATTTTCTGTTTTCTCTGTGTTCCACTGCAGTGGGTGCCCTTTGAGGGTGATCAGCAGTGACTCCGAGGGGAAGCTGAATCTCTTCTCCATAGATGAATCTGCTCCTTCTGTGAATGTCCTGAACCAGTGGGAAGCTCACAAATTTGAGGCCTGGATTGCTGCTTTTAATTACTGGGACACGGATATTGTGTATTCAGGTCTGTAAGGACTGGGAGTCTCATTTGGGGGTGTTGGGGAGGGGACACCTTGTTTAGGGATGTGAGTCCCTTGGGGTTTTACTTGCCAGGGTTGGGCATGCTGCTCGCATCACACCTCTGGAAAGAGCTGGGGCCTCTTCTAGGGGTTTTTTGGTTGTGGGAATTGGTTGGAGTTAATTGAGAGGAGGTGTTCCTTTTAAACTGTGCTTTGGCTGGCTGTTGGCATAAAATATAATCTTTTGCAATGTGCAAGAGAGCCAGGGAGCTTCTAGAGTGCAGTCTTTTTATCTTCTAGGTTTTTATTTTGCTTAGCAAAGGGAGGGTGTTGTTAATGCATTCATGCATGTCTTTCCTGTGGTAATGAGCACTGTGAGCCTCAGGTGATTGATACGTCTGTTAACTACTGTGAGATCCCAGGGCTGAAAAGCGTCTGCTTGGTGTTAACTGTGTTGCCCTGGTGCCCTGTGCTGGCCGCTTGGTTGGTGTTCAGGGTGGTGATGGTTTGTGTTGGTGCAGGAGGAGACGACACCCTGCTGAAGGGCTGGGACACCAGGCAGAGCCCAGAGACTCCGGTCTTCACCAGCAGGAGGTGAGCACAGCGCGTCTCTAGCTGCACCTGCACCCTACAGCTGCCGTGTATGAACCCGGGGTGCTGCTGTGTCCCTTCCCAAGCCCCTGACTCCAGGGACATGCAGTGACAGTAGGGTCCCGTTTCTGCCTCCCTTGGGAAATGGAGACATCTCTTGTATTTTTTCATTGGGGCAACTTCAGGCTGAAAGTTTCTTCTGTGTCCTTCAACATAACAGACCCAACAGCTCACTTCCACACATGAAGATGGTGGAATCTTCTTTCTAAAAGAAGCATCCTGATTTACACTGTTATTTTGGGAATTTCTGTGTGTATTAAATTTGGTTATCTTATTATGGAACATTTTTTAGAAAATATTTTATTCTCCACTGTTCACTCATTTGAAGTAATCTCTTTTTTTGGGTGGTATGACATATATTTTAGAGTAGGATTAAAACAGTGTACAAAACTGTCCAGTTGAAATTTTATATGCAGCCTTAAAATACACCAGGGATTATTGCTATGGAAATACGAATGTTGGGAGTAAAGTATTGCGGGTTTGGAGTTGTTGTGCTGAAATTCTTAGGGGCTCTGAAAAGCAGTTTATGGTGCAAATATGACTAGAAAATCTTTGTGCTGAGACTGTGTGAGTAGAAGTTTTGCCCCTCTCACATCGTACGTTGCTGTCTCTTCTGTTCCTCTTTTGCAGACACTCGATGGGTGTGTGCAGCATTCAGTGCAGTCCCCACCGGGAGAATCTGCTGGCTACTGGCAGGTAAATCCCTTCTTGCTGCTCTGCACTGGTGGGACCAGCCTCCTCGGTTATTTTGAATCCACTGCTGTGTGACCTCTTCAGGCATTCGGTGTGATGAAGTGCCTGCGATCTTTTGTGATTTTCTTCTGTTCTGGTTGCACTGAATCAGCTTTGCTGCTTGCCTGTGTATTTATTTGTGATCTGTCTCCAGCTATGACGAGCACGTGCTGCTGTGGGACACCAGGAACATGAAGCAGCCGCTGGCAGACACCCACGTTGAAGGCGGAGTTTGGAGGTTGAAGTGGCACCCAACCTGTGATTTTGTGCTGTTGGCAGCCTGCATGCAGAGCGGGTTCAAAATCCTCGACTGCCGCGGCAGCATGGGTGAGTGTTGAGTGGAACAGAGCTGCTCTTGTGCTGCTCTCCTTTCCTGCCCCCAGGTTTACAGGGAAACACCAGCTCAGAGCTTGCCAGAACGATCGAGGTGGTGGTAACAGCCAGAGACTTTCATTCCAGCTGAGGTCACCCTTCCAGCTTCCCCAGACCTCACCTCGCTGTTGGCCTGGCCAGTTGTGCAAAGGCTCTGCCATTATTCATGTGTGAATCTCTCCTAACTTCTTTTCATGGAAAGAAAGCCTGTTTGTCTCAGTGTAAAGGCGTTACCCGTTGACGTGGCCGTTCCTGTTTGTATTCATCTCGATGGTTCAGAGAGGTTCTTCTGAATGTCAGGTGGTGCTTCACTGTCAGAAGTTACTGACGTGAACTGCCTCAGAAAGGAAGTGCCGTGCAGTCTGGTTCATCTAGAATAACACGAATAAGCCCTCTGTGTGAATCAGAAGGTATTTACATGATTAAAAACTGCCTGCATTTACATTACAAATACAATCTTGCATAAAATGGCTCCCTTCCTGGGTTTCTCCAGGCCTTGGGCAGATCCAAAGCTTGCAAAATGAGGATAAATGTCTGCTGTATAGGGAAGGGAAGAACTTGATAGTCATTTAATATCAGTCAAATGCTGAAAGCTCACGGGAAGAACAAATCTGTGATTTTTTAATAACCAGAGCTTGGTCTGGCAATCTCACCTGTTGTATTTCTTGCTCAGCGAGGATCGCTCTCTGGTCTGTCTTGTCTTTCTTGAGCCTTTTAAGATATTTTGAATAATGATGCATGTTAAAACTTCTCCTGTCTGCTTACTGACCCTGGGAAAATCATTTTTGGCCGCCTCTCATTAGCCTGAATCAGGAGAGCCAGAAGCTCATTTCTCCTGGCATGTGTAGCTGTTGTGCAGGCAGTGGTAACCAGCAAACTCTTCCTGTGGGACGTAACCAGTGCACGGGTTGTGAGCACTCTGCAGCAAACCCTTTCACGACTCAATTTCTGCTCATTTCATATTGCTATTTTTTTTTAAAGCTGAAAACACGGAGGAATGTATCATCCTGTCATCCTATGTCTTGCACAATTCCTTGGCGTACGGGGCTGACTGGTCGAGGCTCTGTCCGAAGGATTCCTTGTCTGGACCACAGGACTCTGCTGCTGCGGGCCAGCCTTCGGAGGAGCTTGTGGGAAGGACAGAGGAAGCTGAGAGACTGAATTTGCAGGTCCAAAACCTGAAGATAATTTATGAGTCTCCTACAGCGACTTTTGATGTAATACTGGATGAGGAGAGCGAAGGCCCTGCCTTGCCGCTCGAAGCAGAGGGGGGTCCTAAGCTGTCTGAGAATCCTGACCTGGTCAGGGGTCCTGATTTAAAGGGGAGCTCAGGTTTGGCTGGGGGTGTCAACCAAAGAGGAGCTCCTGAGTCAGCCAGCAGTTCTGAGTCAGGGGCCAAGAGACCCACCAGCATGGGCCTGGACAGAAGCGGTGATTCAGCCAGGTCTCCAGACAGCCCGAAAGAAATGAGCATTGTAGCGACTTGTTCTTTCTATGACAATATCCTCCACATCTGGAAGTGGGAGATGAGCCTGGCGACCCCTTCGGAGACGCCAGGTACCACATCTCCCTCTGAAAGAACGGTCAGAAGTTTGCATTGACCGGTCCCAAGGGACAGGGGTGGGAAAACTCCTGTACTGAGAGCAGCAGCTGAGCTTATGTCCTGTCTGATTTCTGTTGGGCTATTCCAGTTTTCTTTTTGAGCTTTTAAGTCTTTTAAGGCCAATGCTGATGGAATTACTGGTGGTTTATTTTTGGCACTGAGGGAAAGCCTTGGCTTTGAGGAGTGTGGTCAAGCACAGGCGCATTTATTTAGTTTTCCCTTAATGTTCTAGGTCGAAGTAGGAGAGCCTTCCTCTCAAAGGCTGCTTTTTGTACCTTATCTCTGAATCCCTTCGAGGCGGGTTTGCGTTCGTACGACTGATCTGTTAAACCCATTCTCCTTCTATCCCAACCCAAACTTTGCTGCACTGCTGCGTGCAGACAAATGCAGTGAGGTCAGTGGTTTTCCCGAGTGTCTCCAAAAAGCCCATGAGCAGAGGCTTAGCTGTGTGTGAAGCTTGCAGTGTTTTTAAAACTAGCACATACTTGGAGGAGACGCTCCAAGGCAGTCCAGGTACACAATGCAATGTGCTCGCAGTGGTCTTCAGGCGAGAGAAGTTATTTTTCAGAAGGAAATCCAGACTGAGTGGTGTGACAGCCAGCAGTCCAGCAGCAGGATGCTTCATTCTGAGCAGGGCCTTTCCTGGAAGGGTTCTGGTGTATCTGCACTGTCTGATTTTAGGTCAGACTCATCACTGGGGTGCAAGCTCGCTTCACCACTCTCCAAGCTAAGCACAGCCTGGTTTACCATAAAGGGTGTCGGGAGCCTTGCTGTGTTTTTAGTGCCACGCTGAACCACCCCCCATAGCCTCTTGGGATCAAACTCAACGTTTTCTGTTCTCCGCAGTGAGACTTAGGTCCAAAGTCAAGACCTTTCAGTTTTTTCAAGGTGAACAGCTTTAAGATCATAACCTCCAAAAAGTACAAGCAGTGTTTCCTGACATCTTTTAAGTTCAAAAATAAGTTAAGTACAGAAACCAAAATCTTAACAACATTGCCCTAACTACCTCCAGGAATGGCTGCAGAATTTCTCATGGCTGCTTCGTTAGCTTTCTTTTCTCACTGTGAAATATCAGCAAAACACCGTTTCTGGAACACTGTCTCTATTATATTCCTAGAAACAAAAAGCCAGCTTAAACTAGGTAAGTAACTTCTAGCTTGCGTGGTTTCTCTTTGAGGGTCCTAAAGAATTAGTTGTGTGGAGGGAAAGAAACACCAGCAACAGGATCTAACTGTAACAGTGCTGCCTCTGTACAGCAGAGAAGAATTTTACTGCTTTGAAACCCCTTTTTCAAGGGTGAATGTGTATTTTTGAAAACATTCTTGAGCGCTGTTACATGAGGATTCATAGTATTCTGAACAAGAGCTTTTGTTAAAAAACAAACAAAAGAAAAGCCACCCTATTTTTGGATGTTTCTAAAATAAAATCAGTATAAGTGATTTATCTTTCTCTGTTGTTTTGATTTCATAAAGTCTGTCACAGACCTCCTGCCTTGCCCTGAGATGGCTTGGTCTCTCCGAGGGCATTTGGGGGTGCTGTTTGTTCTTCAGGAGTCAGAGCAGAAAATCCGGTTTCCTCGTGCCTGGGTGAGAACTGGAGGGTGTGTCCCTGCTGTGACACTGCTTTTGACTGTCTGCTCTGCTTTAAAAGGTTGTAATGCTTTTTTTATTGCCCTGTAAGACTGAGAGGAAGCAGCCTGAGGTCAGCGAAGCTGGAGCAGTGACCAGCCTGAGGAACTTGATTCATGTGTCACACAGGTCCTGGCTCTGCCCTGGGAAATGGGAACCCCCCCTGTTCCCACCTGCCTTCGCATGGGGAAGGCAAAGCCAGCGACTTGTGCCAGACCACGCTGGTGTTGGCCTCAGAGGGGACAGGATCTCCAGATCTCCAGCCTGTCCACCCACTCCTGCCAACCACTAACATTGTCTCTTCTGGAAAGCGTGCAGCGGTGCCTAAGAAAGTCCCCTGTGAAAGGGCAGGGCGAGGCAGCCCCTCTGCCACAGCCACAGCAGCCAGAGCTGATGGCAGAAAACACCCGCGTTTGAAAAACCACTATTCTGATGAGCTGAAAAATAAGTGAAAAATTATTATTTAGAATTTAACTAATTAGAAAAACCATGCCTTCCCTCACCACTGACTGTGCTGCAGCGTGCAAACTGCTTCACGTGTGGTAATCAGGGCTGCAGCACAAAGCAGTGGAGGGTGGAGCAGCATCCCTGCCCCACCACAGCCCCCAGAATAGGTGTTTTTTAACAACATTGTAAGGACTCAGCTGTCAGCCTGCATTAGACTGGATGCTCAGCCAGAACACAGTAAACATGCTTCCTTTCTCCAACAGTAACATTTAAATTGAAGTAACATTTAAATTGAAACTTAATTCTCTAATGCTTAAGCTTTGCAGTACTTTGGATTTAGAACACCTCATGGAAAAACAACCCCAAGTACCTCCTGGGAGGGCTGCAGCCCCCAGGCTGAGCTGCCTCACAGGAGAGTCATTTTCTCAAGGACTCCAGCATTTGTGCATCAGAGAAAACGTGTTATTTCCAAAGACAATTAGAATTAAGCAGTTTCTACTTTAAAAGATTACACACAACTGTCTATGGAAGCGTCACTTGGATCCATTTAATTTGATGAACAACAAGACACTGTTCTTGTAGGAATATATGTCTAAAAATACCAATTCTTGAGATATGATTCAAATATAAACACTTATCTTCCAACTCCAAGCTGCACTGCTAAGGACAAGACATTAAATGCACCTATTAACTGCATTTGATTTGCTCTAAAAGGAAGAGTTTTAAGGCTTGGGGAAGTCAGGAACAGTTGTGGCATTCAGTGTAAGCTACAGAGCTCTTCTGCAGGAGAGTTCAGGGTTGGTTTTGGCTGTTGGAGGTCTCACCTCTGGTTCAGTGGAGCACTTGCAGCTGGGGTAAATCCATTGGGGTGTGCCTCTTTTGGCTGCCAGGCCTAGGGTACATACACCCTGCAGTGCCCTGTGACTCCAGGCTCTCCTTAGGAGGTAAGACTTGTCCTCTCTTGATCCCAGAAGCCAGGAATTCCTTCCCAGAGGGAGGGAATGATGTTTCAACAGCCTGGAGAGAAACTGCACCCTGGTAATTATCAGCACCTGGTCAATCAGCTCTCATCTGAGAGGACACCCGCACGCTTACACAACACAACCTGGGGTGCAAGACACCAGTAACGCTTTTGTTAGTGAGGGATGGGAAATCAACCACCAATTTCCTCACAGCGATTTAAATCAGACATTGCAGAAAGATAAAGAAGAAGGATTTGCTTTTAATAGCCCGTGACAGAAAATGTCCCATATTTGCTGGCGCAGACCACATCTCTCACGATGCCGATGCTCTTCCTGGTGCCCCACTGCTTGCTCACTACCGCACGTAGTTCTTGGGGAAGAGCTGGAAGAGCTTGCCCTCCTGCGTTGGCTCGAAGCCGTACTTCTCCAGGTTATTGGGGTCGAAAGTGCCCTCTTTCACGTCCTTCTCGATGTGGGGAGCCACCAGCTCCGTGAAGAGCTGCTTGGCCGTCATCGGCGGCTCGGAGCCTTTGGGGGCACGGTACGAGACATAGGGCTTGAGCTTGAAGCCCTCCAGCTCGGGGACGACGAACTGGGGCACCATCTCCTTGATGAGGATGAACTTCCTGTTGGAGGTGAGCACGCCCACCTTCTTGGCCCCTCGGCCCTTGTTGTAGCTCCGGGGGCCGCGCTTGCTGGTGAACGGGGACATGCGGTCGGCGCCCCGCACC